AGCCAAAAATAAATCTTTAAAAAAATAATTAAATACAATTATTAAAGAACATAACCAAAGTTGACTTCATACAACCCCAACAGTAGGTACCACGAGCAGGCCTGATACTGAAGCTCTACCTCCCATAGTACATTTAGAGACCTTGGGTACCACGAGCAGGCCTGATAACTGAAGGCTCTACCTCCCATAGTACATTTAGAGACCGTAGTACCACGAGCAGGCCTGATAACTGAAGGCTCTACCTCCCATTGTACATGTAGAGACAGTAGGTACACGAGCAGGCCTGATAACTGAAGGCCCTACCTCCCATAGTACATTTAGAGACAGTAGTGTTGGGCCTCAGCCATGTGTGTTGGACAAAGGACTCAGGCCTGTATCACAGTTCTCAAGTCTGACTGGAGTTATTTTGGAGGCAACTAAACAAAGGAGTCTTAGCCCAGCAAACCCCCAACCAGAAACTAACAAATAGGTGGTGAAAAGTGGGGGGAGGGGGTGTCTGAATTCTGTATCCTCATTGGAGGAGGCCTGAGGTAAACCCACAGGCAGCTCCAGTCTTTAAAAAGCAATCACCAGGCATTGCTTCCTTCTCTTCAAGTGTGATCTGCCGACACCAGAGGATACCCTCTCCATATGATGGACTCCAGCATTTGAGACAAACCCTTTCCTCCTCTTGACTTACATAGGTTAAACTCCAGAGCTGAGGTTGCTCAGTTAGGTAGCTCTTCACATGCTGAATTCAAGCATCAGAGCATTCAGCTGACTACTTCCACGGCATATTTTCAGGAGTTTTGGGCGCAATCAGATGCTATCAGGTTGAGCAAAAAGAAAAAGTTTCTTTCCTTTGATTTTTCGTAAGACGTCATTGAACACAACTGGACAGGAGCGCTGAAGGAAGCCCACTGATCCCTGAATCCACAAGGACACATAAAGAACTCGGCTCCTGCAACCAGAAGACCCTATAGAGCAGGACTCTGGTCGAAGATCTTAATCCCGCTACCCTCCTCCTACATCTGCCACGAAGGAAACCAGCCTGAATCTGTTGATTTAACATTCAACAGAGTGACGATCTAACCAACTTTGCAACGCTCACCAGGAGTTACCCCAAGTAAGAGCTTTGGTCTGGGCAGAAATAGTTTCAGAAATAGTTATGTTTCTTTTATAACCACTGATAATTATGCATCATTGTTGACGTCACATTCTGTTTATTATCTGTTGTAAGCTGCTGCATGTGTTTTATTGTAATGAACTGCTGTGTTCGTCTATGTGTTTAATGCTATGCTAGTTTACCTTCAGTCAACGGCTTTCACAATCAGAAAGACCAGTGTACCACCGTTGAATCAAAGTCCGGCCACTGGCTTTCTGGTGTTTAAGTAACAGTTACTGAACTCAGCTCAGAGAGCTCAAACTATTTCAAAAGGCAGCCACACGGCTTCATTTGTTGTCCACCATTTGTCACCATGTGACGAAGCCACATGGTGACAAAATGTCTCTCTCCACCATCTTGTTTTCTCTCTTTCTCTCTCTCTCTCTCATCTACATACATACACACACACACACACACACACATTTACACCTCATTCACAAGCCTTGCTTGATAATGTTTGTTAGATTAGTTTATAATAGTTATTTGTTTAATTAAGTTCATTGATTTTGGATTGATGTTGCTTTGTTTAAATAAATTCTGTTATAATTTAAGAGAGCAGTTGTTTGTGATTACTGGTGTATTTACATTGTGATATAAGTTGGGTGCGAAGGCTTTGTGTACGGATTTCACACCTTCAATTTATTAAATATAGTTATTCATTATTAATAATATTAGTAATTAAGTAACTAATTTGAGACTGATTTGAGTGATATTTTGGTTATATTTCCCTGATAACAGGGTGGTGCCCCAAAACGAGATTAAACATAGTTTAATGATATTGTTATTTATATTATTAATAATTAAATACAATTGGGGTGCGCTGGTGGCGCAATGGTAAGGGCGCGCGTCCGATGTGTTGAGACTCTCGTCTCAAGAGGTAGGCCCGGGTTCGCTTCCACTGTGGCCTCTTTCTGCATGTCATTCCCCGCTCTCTCTCTCTGGTTTCTGACTCTATCCACTGTCCTCTCTCTCTCTGGTTTCTGACTCTATCCACTGTCCTCTCTCTCCCTGGTTTCCGACTCTATCCACTGTCCTCTCTCTCTCTGGTTTCCGACTCTATCCACTGTCCTCTCTCTCTCTGGTTTCTGACTCTATCCACTGTCCTCTCTCTCTCTCTGGTTTCTGACTCTATCCACTGTCCTCTCTCTCTCTGGTTTCTGACTCTATCCACTGTCCTCTCTCTCTCTGGTTTCTGACTCTATCCACTGTCCTCTCTCTCTCTGGTTTCTGACTCTATCCACTGTCCTCTCTCTCTGGTTTCTGACTCTATCCACTGTCCTCTCTCTCTCTGGTTTCTGACTCTATCCACTGTCCTCTCTCTGTATTGAAGGCACGAAAAAGCCAAAAAATAAATCTTTAAAAAAATAATTAAATACAATTATTAAAGAATATAACCAAAGTTGACTTCATACAACCCCAACAGTAGGTACCACGAGCAGGCCTGATAACTGAAGGCTCTACCTCCCATAGTACATTTAGAGACTGTACCACGAGCAGGCCTGATAACTGAAGGATCTACCTCCTATAGTACATTTAGAGACTGTACCACGAGCAGGCCTGATAACTGAAGCTCTACCTCCCATAGTACATTTAGAGACTGTAGGTACCACGAGCAGGCCTGATAACTGAAGGCTCTACCTCCCATAGTACATTTAGAGACTGTAGGCACCACAAGCAGGCCTGATAACTGAAGGCTCTACCTCCCATAGTACATTTAGAGACTGTAGGTTCCACGAGCAGGTCTGATAACTGAAGGCTCTACCTCCATAGTACATTTAGAGACTGTAGGCACCACAAGCAGGCCTGATAACTGAAGGCTCTACCTCCCATAGTACATTTAGAGACCTTGGGTACCACGAGCAGGCTTGATAAGTGAAGGCTCTACCTCCCATAGTACATTTAGAGACCGTAGCTACCATGAGCAGGCCTGATAACTGAAGGCTCTACCTCCCATAGTACATTTAGAGACCTTGGGTACCACGAGCAGGCTGATAACTGAAGGCTCTACCTCCCATAGTACATTTAGAGACCGTAGGTACCACGAGCAGGCCTGATAACTGAAGGATCTACCTCCTATAGTACATTTAGAGACTGTACCACGAGCAGGCCTGATAACTGAAGGCTCTACCTCCCATAGTACATTTAGAGACCGTAGGTTCCACGAGCAGGTCTGATAACTGAAGGTTCTACCTCCCATAGTACATTTAGAGACCGTAGGTTCCACGAGCAGGTCTGATAACTGAAGGCTCTACCTCCCATAGTACATTTAGAGACTGTAGGCACCACAAGCAGGCCTGATAACTGAAGGCTCTCCCTCCCATAGTAATTTTAGAGACCTTGGTACCACGAGCAGGCCTGATAAGTGAAGGCTCTACCTCCCATAGTACATTTAGAGACTGTAGGCACCACAAGCAGGCCTGATAAGTGAAGGCTCTACCTCCCATAGTACATTTAGAGACTGTAGGCACCACAAGCAGGCCTGATAACTGAAGGCTCTCCCTCCCATAGTACATTTTAGAGACCTTGGGTACCACGAGCAGGCCTGATAAGTGAAGGCTCTACCTCCCATAGTACATTTAGAGACCGTAGGTACCATGAGCAGGCCTGATAACTGAAGGCTCTACTTCCCATAGTACATTTAGAGACTGTTTTAAACTCTCAGGTATGAAACTCTGAGGTGTGTCTCATTGCTGCCCTCTGGAGGACTTTACACATCTTAACATCTCCTTTGTGTCATCTCAGTCATGTGACTGTTGGTTTAAAATATAAACCTATGACTGAGGGAGGTGGGTCATATCAATTTTAAGCCCCGCCCTGAGTGGTCAGAATGGATGAAACTGAAAGCATGATTTAATTACGTAATCAATGTATTGAGTTATTATTGTATTATTTATGTTTTTTTATTTATTTATCATCCCTGCATGCTGATGAATGGTGATGTCACACAAAAAATGCACAAAGTGTTTTTGTTTGGTCCTAAGCCATGTAAACACAGACACACACACATACACACACACATAAACACAGACAAACACGCAGACAAAAAAACACGAGCACACACACACACACACACACACACACACACACACACACACACACACAGGACCCATTAGTGGGATTAATTTTGTCTGAGAGGGCCACAGCTGATCTGACCTTTAGGCCCACGTTTAATCCTCCTCAGAAGGGTTAGGGTTCTGTGTGTGTGTGTGTGTGTGTGTGTGTGTGTGCGTGTGTGTAGAGGGGTTTTATCGACCATCTTTCTGTCACACTAAGAGGAAGTGTTAGTTTCGGGATCAATATCTCCAAAATGAACACTGTTTTATTTCAGACTGCAGAGATCACTTTAATTAACTTTCATGAACTTCTTTAAGAAGTGCAGCAGCGATATCTGACTTGATTGGTGCAGCAAACCGTAAACAAAATATATTTTATAAATAAAAATATGTATGTCATTAGGATGTATTTTTCATATATTAACACAAACAGTAAATGATGAAAGCACATCACTGCTGATCCCCCCCCTCCCCCCCCAGGATCATATGTCTGCTTCCCCCTCACAGAAACACACCCTGTGGTATCAGTGTTATCAATGGGGAGTGGTGCTGTGGGGGGGGGCTACAGCAGTGTGCCGACCTGGGATTGGCTGCCGTGCACTCTAATTGGATCAAGTAGGAACTTGCTTAGCTGGATGCTTTGTGCTCGGATCAGAGACAGGAAGAGGAGGAGAGGGAGGAGAACGCCCTGCTATCACTGACCGAGAGAGACAGAGGAGGGGTGAGGGGAGGAGACAGAGGAGGGGTGAGGGGAGGAAAAGGGGAGTATCCCATCCTCTGCTGCAGCCCCCCCCTCCCTCTCTGTAAGTGTCTTTCTCTCTCGTTCTCCTTACTCATCTGTTTCTGCTGGCTGAGAGGAAGGGCACCTGCCGCTCCCTGATGATTCAGCGTTCAGCGAGTCGACTTCAGCAGACAGCATGTATCCGCAGTGCTTGGCCGTCCCGTCTTCGTCTCTCCAGCTGCTGCAGCTGCAGCCGGCCCGCCTCATGCTTCATCAAAGCTCAGGTGAGTGTGTGCTCATGTTCACTCTGCACTGTGTTCAACATTTAAAGAATCTTATCCTCGGCTTCTGTTTCTGTCTGCAGCAAATGTGAGGCTTGTCTTTATAGACTGATTCTGGTGTTTCCTCTGAGAAAGCATGAATAAGGATCTCCTCTTCCTCGTGTGCAGACTGTCTTCAAAGCTCAGAGAGTGTTAACAACGTTGTAATCTCCTAAAGCTGACCATGGAACACAAACAGGAGCCGACGGGACGCAGACAGACGCTCTGTGATGCTCTGGGTTAGAACTCTTCATCCTCCAGCAGGACAGGATGACTGAGGGCACGGACGACTTCTCTGCAGGGCCGCCCCCCCCTCCTGCAGCGGCCTCCCCCACCAGCTCGACTGTCGACACCGGACGAGTCCCGGAGGAGAAACCAAAGGAGAAACAGGAAGAGGCAGAGGAAGAGGAGGCAGCTGGTCAGAGCGGGGAGGAGGCTGCAGAGGGAGACGCAGAGGCCGGTGCTGATGATGGCGAGCACATGGGGGCTGTGGGCATCATGGCGTTGGCGGGGAGCTGCTGTGTGTGCGTAGAGATGGAACAGATTAGAAACTGTGTGCACTCAGAGAAAATCTGCATCCTGCCCATCCTGGCCTGCCTGCTCAGCCTCGCTCTCTGCACCGCTGGACTCAAGTGGGTCTTTGTGGATAAGATCTTTGAGTACGAACCACCCACTCACCTTGACCCTAAACCCATCGGACAGGACCCTTTCATCATCTCAGCCGACCCCACGCTGGGACTAACTGTGTCCGTCCCTCTCTCATCTCTTTCCCCCACCTCTCTAACCTCAGCCCCCCTGACTTCCACCTCCCTGAGCCCCTCCATCACAGTGGAACGTCATGCACTCACGCCGGGACATCCAGATGTTTTCCTGGAAGACAAATCCACAAGAGGGCCGAAGGTTCCTCCTGATCCCTCTGTGACCCTGAAGTACAACGCTGAACGTCCCAGCACTACCAAACAGACCCCCCACCCTCTGACAACACAGGAGACCAACGACATCATCCCAACAGTCTGTAAGTACCAGCTCATTACCACACATGTTCACTGGGAGCTCTGGGAACACTGGGAGCTCTATGGTTAGTGTATATAAAGGTTACACATAAACTAAAGGTATATAAAGGTATATTAATGTATATAAAGGTATATGAAGGTATATAAAGGTATATAAAGGTTACACATAAACTAAAGGTATATAAAGGTATATTAATGTATATAAAGGTATATAAAGGTATATAAAGATATATAAAGGTTACACATAAACTAAAGGTATATAAAGGTATATAAAGATATATAAAGGTTACACATAAACTAAAGGTATATAAAGGTATATTAATGTATATAAAGGTATATGAAGGTATATAAAGGTATATAAAGGTTACACATAAACTAAAGGTATATAAAGGTATATTAATGTATATAAAGGTATATAAAGGTATATAAAGATATATAAAGGTTACACATAAACTAAAGGTATATAAAGGTATATAAAGATATATAAAGGTTACACATAAACTAAAGGTATATAAAGGTATATAAAGATATATAAAGGTTACACATAAACTAAAGGTATATAAAGGTATATAAAGGTATATAAAGGTTACACATAAACTAAAGGTATATAAAGGTATATTAATGTATATAAAGGTATATAAAGGTATATAAAGATATATAAAGGTTACACATAAACTAAAGGTATATAAAGGTATATAAAGATATATAAAGGTTACACATAAACTAAAGGTATATTAATGTATATAAAGGTATATAAAGGTATATAAAGGTATATTAATGTATATAAAGGTATATGAAGGTATATAAAGGTATATAAAGGTATATAAAGGTATATGAAGGTATATAAAGGTATATTAATGTATATAAAGGTATATAAAGGTATATGAAATATATAAAAGTATGCAAAGGTATATGAAGGTATATAAAGGTATATAAAGGTATATAAAGGTATATTAATGTATATAAAGGTATATAAAGGTATATGAAATATATAAAAGTATACAAAGGTATATGAAGGTATATAAAGGTATATGAAGGTATATAAAGGTATATAAAGGTATATAAAGGTATATTCAGGCGTTGCATCTGCTCTGCGGGCTGGAACGTAAGTATCCTGTTTTCAGGACTGGTTGTGGCTGCAGACGTGTTGAGACTTGCAGAGAGCTGCAGAGCGGCTGTGACTAAGCTCTGAAATATTACACACAACAACGTTTGTGTTGAGACCTGAGGAACCTTCAGTCGGCCTCTTTAACTATTCATGCTCACATTGTACTGCAGTGATTTGGGCTCAGAACAGTAAGTGGGCGTTTTTATGGTGTTATTCTGAATATATAATGAGGAAGGTACCTAAAATGTGTGGAGGAACATTTCCAGTCATCTGAAACAGTGAAATCAATAAATGATGCAGGACACAGACTGAAACTCGAGGCTGTGGTACACAGAGACTTCCTGCTTTCTGCCCGTGCTCCATTTCAAGGTCAGAGTCGCTGGCGGCTAATTGATGCCCCCTGTATCCATCCGCCTCAGGAAAAGAAAACATCCCACTAATCAGTGTGTCTGCAGACCGCCATGACACGTCTGATGTAGTCACATCTCTGGGGTTTAGTCCAAGGAAGTAATTATCTCCAGTAGAGGGGGCAGTGTTGGTACTGTTAACATGTACAATCAGCTGGTTAACACTCTCACTGAGTCTTACTTTACTTAAGGGAAACTGGGTTTTCCTTTTCTGTAAGTGAGGTCACTCAAACCTAAGAAAGAGGCGTAACTGAAGCTCTGAGTCTGTTACTATGGTAACTTAAGCTGTGAGTCTGTTACTATGGTAACTGAGTCTGTGAACCTAGCCTGGTCGGGAGCAGGTTTTCTTCAATGAACCCCGGTTTCTCTCCATCTCCTCTAAGCTGGAAACACGGTTTCATTTCCTGGAGATTCATCGGTTGTCTGAATAAAGGTACAGGTTGTTTTAATATTATCTGGGAGGAACACTTTAAGTCAATAAAATAAATTGTTTTGTAAAACATGTTCTTTAGTCAAGGAGCCTCGAGATGAAGGGACTGCAGTGTTTCTCTGCAGGGAATAAGCATACATTTACATCTGGAGATGTTCATCTAATGAATGAACTAAACAGGATATAAGTAGAGGAAGTGTGTGTGTGTGTGTGTGTGTGTGTGTGTGTGTGTGTGTGTGTGTGTGTGATACCAGCATTATGTTGGGCCTAATGCACATTGAAATATCCACTCAATGATATTCTTTTATTTAATAGCCAAAAATATGATTAAACTAAGGTACTACTTTTAGCCGTGTTTGTTCTTATATTACATTTTGAGCTGCATTGAACCTAAATTAAATTACATTTCAGGTTCAACACATTTTCACCAGTTTTAACCTTTAATATAAGTATAAGGACCTGTAATTGTCACCTGTTGGCACGGTGAATCGTAGTATCGGGGCTATTTATTGTCGTGGTGCACGCGCTGAACACCAAGGGAACCTACTCAGAGTTGATTGAACTCAAATCAGCTGATCTGGAACCAGAAACTCAGAGTTTCCCACCTGAGGGTAAATCAACTGAGAGCTCAGGGTTAGACTTAGGGTTTGTTCAGCCGTGTTTCTGAAACGGACCCCAGGAAGTCAGGTCGAGGTCCACAGTGGTTTTAGCCTAGCTTTGCACAGTTAGCATTCTTTAGCTAAATGAAGAGCAGGGTGTTTGTGTAAATAGGAGAATATCACACAGTGATCTATTACAGATAATTGTATTTTCGCTGAGGGCTGCTGCACGGTGATGTGTGCTTTCTTACACATCTTCAACATATTTGAAATGACTGTTGATTGAACCAAAGTGACTGCCATGATCAAATGAAATATCTCTTCATCTTTATTCTCTTCAAAACAAAGTGAACAAGGCCAGAGGGACTAGAAACTGGCATTACCATTCCATCATAAGCTGAACCCTTTCTTCAGAGATACCAACACTGAGCAGACCAAACATCATGTTCACGTCTGTGGCACCTTTAATTTTTTATAATGTATAGGGTTAGAGATGTGACAGAAGCACTGCACACATCTACTTCACACCCGGCGCCGCTGCTCACCTGTTGTCTTGATCGAAGAGTCTTTCCATAAAAAAGGCACTCCTTAAAGTTGATTTACTCAACATTAGCTTGCGGTGTAGACCAGGCTGGCTGGGCCTTTCAAAGAGCCTCATTGTGTCAAAAACATGTATTTAAAGAAAACTGTGGGTCTGTACCATAAGTGGGAGAGAGAGCTCATACGGGAGAGTGAGGGACCGTGCCATCGCTCATAAAGATGGGCGGACAACAAACAAAAACTTCAATTGATCAGCTATTTAAAGTGTGTAATCTCTGGGGACAGACTGATGCTGAACAAATTGCTCCAACATGTGTCCAGTCTTCTTCACTGCTCTGAGTATTATAAACGATAAACTGGTAATAGACACAAGTCTACATCTGAACTGTCAGTGTGAAGTTTGACCTCTGTGTCAAATGTTCTTAAATCTGGACAAATACTGAATAAAATATGCTTTGCTCAGCACATAGTATGACGTCCTCAAAGAGAACGACTTCACTCAGCAACCACGATTCAAACTCAATAAACGGAGCCATCCTGAGCCCCCCAGGCGCTGCTGCATGTCCCCCCCCCACTCTCTTCTCATAGGGAAGTGAAATGACATGTGTCCTTCATTTCCTGGCAGTAAAAGCCAAAATAGCCCAACGTAGTAATCTAAATAATAAAATGAGACTAAACTTGCAGCTCCAACCCCTGATGTTTTATTGAATGAAAAATGTGCTGGTTTAAATATGAATGTTTTAAAGTATCTTATATATTTAGTCCAACTGGTTTTACATTCAAATGAACCCAGTCTGACAGACAGTGAGTGTTTGAAAGACTTTTTCAGCATGCTTTACATTGGTTTTCACATTTACTGTCCTAACTCTATATAATGTACACTCTGTACCTGTGCTGTTCTTGCTGCTGTAATAACCTTTTGTCCTCTGCAGCTGCCACCAGCACCACCACTAAAGCTAAGACCTCCAGTCATGTGACGCGCTGCAGCAACAGCCAGAGGAACTACTGCGTCAACGGAGGAGAGTGCTTCACCCTTGAAATCATGCCCGGCAGCACAAAGTTTCTCTGCAGGTATGACTCCCAAAAGGTTCTAACAGTGACTGTGATTCAAGAGCTCATCTGAATGAAGGTGTATTTACTGCTGGGATGGGTTATGTCCTCATCATGTTCAGTAAATAACACAGGTGAGTAAAGAGGTGATTTAAAGGAAGAGCTGCTCTGAAAGAAACAAGATCTGCCCATATTGAAGCAAACAATACAATTATGATGAAATAAAGTTTGATTCAACCAGAAAATGTAGAAATGCGGGAGGGCGGTACATCTCAGTGATGTGAATTAGAGATGTTATTGTTAAGAAAGCTGCAGATAAAATGTTAATCCCAGCCTGTTACTGAGTTTATTCACTGCCAAATAATTCTCCATAATAGCCCTCAATCCCTGACCTTCAAGTCCAGCTCTCAAAAACATTGAACACTTTATTCACTGGGGTAAAATTATATTTCAGTACTGTAGCACTACTTTATAGAAACAATCAGAAAACAACCATACACATTTTAACATCAGCATCAGCACTGTACAGTGACAGAGGGGAAAGAGGGATTTATTCATCCATCCTTCCATTATCCAGCACTTATCCGGGCCAGGGTTGATTGTCAGCAGGCTAAGAAATGAGTCCAGACATCCTTCTGACCAGAAACATTTTCCAGCTTCTCCTGGAAGACCAAGGAGACTCTAGACCAAATCAGGGATTACATATAGGGTCTAGTATGAGTCCAACTATCTCAGAAATCCACCAAAGAATGGACAGAGGAGGATCCTGATCAGATACTGGACCACTTGTTGATGCTGCACTAAGCCATCTTTAGATGTCACTATCCATTTAAACTTCTTTTTGAAATAGACCCCGACATACTTCAACTCCCTATCTATGACAGAAACGTACTCCCCACCCAGAGAGAGCAAGGCTCTGGATACAATCAGAGAACCATGAATTTAGGCTTGAAGAGCTAAATCTCAATCTGGTGACTTCTTACTTGGCTGAAAACCACCCAAATGCCTGCTGGAGGTCTGGCCCAGCTTCATGTCACTAACAGATCCACACCATCTGCAAAAAGCACAGATGCCATTCTAAGGTTTCTAAACCAGATGTTCTTCCCAGTTCCACATTGAGATCTTATCCAGGAAAATCACAAAATCATTGACAAGAGACCGGCACCCACCAGGAACTTGTTTTCCTTTATTCTAAGGATGAAGGAACAGCACTTATTTGGCTATACAGGGACTGGATGGCGCAATGAAATTACCCTGATATTGCATATTGCCACAGTATCACCCGAAGGAATTAAGGGGGAATCACTCGTTGGCTAAACTTTCCCTGATGGTTAAGTAGTGTGCTTTGCTGATAGTTGGAACACAACATCAGGTCCCCTTTTTAAAAATGACAATCACCTTCTCGGTCTTGCACTCCAAAACTGTTCCAGACCTTCACACAACATTGAAGAGCCATGTCCGCCAATGGTTAGGGACAGGCAATTAAGTATTTTCAGGGAAAATCTGCTGCCTCTGCCTTCTACCAGGCTTGCACTACTCCATTGCTCATCTCTGCTGTCCACAAGGTGCGGGTATCATTTTTTTGCTCTTTCCAGCTGGCCCAGAATCAGAAATACTTTATTAATCCCAGGGGGAAATTGGGTTGTTAAGTTGCTTGCAGGGTGTATGATTAAGGCTCGATATGGACAAACATTTTGACTGGCTTGGGGACAGATTGCACTGTTCGAGTCCACTACACTCAGCCTGCTGCCCCAGCACACAACAGCAAGCAGGATAGCACTGGCCACCACAGACTCATAAAACATCCTCAGCATCTTCCTGCAGATGTTAAAGGACCTCAGCCTCCTCAGGAAGTAGAGGTGGCTCAGCCCTTTTTGTAGACGGCCTCTGTGTTCTTAGACCAGTCCAGTTTATTGTCCAAGTCCTCTCCTAAGTACTTGTTGTCCTCCACAATGTCCACACTGACCTCCTGAATGGAAACAGGGGTCACCTCTGTCTTTTTCCTCCTCCGATGATGTAAACCATGGATTACTCCTGACATAAAGGTGAAGACTATGCAGAGAGAGCAGAGGGAAAAAGCAACTACATGAGGAATATGGTGGAACAGATACAGCAGAAGAACATCAGAGGAGTCTGGAAGGACCTGAAAACCGGTTAGGGACCAGGAGTGAGTGAATGACATGAACATTTTCTTCAACAGATTTGATCAGCCATCCAACCCCGCTACTACCCATTCCATCCTGCTGCAACCACACATTTTCTGATGAAACTTCCATAGATGAGTCCATACAAGGGGGCAGAAGAGTGATTCCCTGCCAGTATCAGTATTGTTGTCGTTTTGTATCCATTACCCTTTGTTTTCTTGTGTGTCTGTGCTCCACTGTCTATGTGTTTGTCCATGTATTTTCATTTGTTTCACCTGTCAGGACTGTTTATGTCTCTCCCTCTCTGCCCATCCACCAGGTGCTCGGCGGGATTCACTGGGCACCGATGTGAACAAGCTGTGCTTAAGAAAGTCTCAGACCCAAAACGTATGTTTACACACCTGTATTCAATCCCACATGTCATTACTGGTGTTTCACCCCCGTCGCATTTTCTCATAGAACTGCAGGAGTAATTCATGTTACCTTTAAATGCAGAGAAAAATCTGCTGATGTGTTCCAAACTGATCTAAGGAGCCCGTTTCATGGCTCTAAAGCATTCAGATCTCATCTGCAGAGTAACTGAAACCTGCATGTACTCCAAATCCCATCAGACTCTATTTAGAGGTCATCCATAATTCCGCAAGGTTATCTATAGGTCATCCATAATGCTTCAAGGTCATCTAGAGGTCAACTATACTCTTCAGAGGTCATCTGCAGGTCATCCATGATATTAAAAGGTCATCTGACGGTCATCCATAGTACTCCAAGGTCATCTACTGGTCATCCATAATTCTCCAAGGTCATCTGTGGGCCACCCATGATACTCCAAGGTCTTAAAAGTCCAGTGTTCAGAGATAAAGTGAAGGTCATCCATGCTGTTAAAAAGTAATCTGAAGTCATCTGTACGGTCCAGAGCGTCAAACTTTAGTGGTGTAAAACTGAATCTGACTGTTCGCCCCACTCCTTACCCTCAGGAGCCAGAATTTTCCGGATCATCCTGCATCAGAACTTTTCAGATATTAAGACGAATGATTTCGTTGCCACATCAGTAGTTCTCATCAACATGGTGCAGAGGAGTCACTGGTTGATCAAACACAGATCTAACTTAGAACTTTGTGCTCTCTTACCATATTGGTCTATGTAATTAAATGGATGAGTCATGACTCCCTTTACATGTTGTGCGGTTTATGTACATGCACATTTCAGTCTGCAGCTGAGACATTGTTCAGAGGGGTTAATGTAGACCATTTCTCCTAAAATCTCTTGAAATAGGAGACAATAGTTCAGTTATAATAAAGGTCTAAGACTATAACTCAGTCTTACACACTAAAACTGGACTCTTTGGTCCACCTGGTCCTTCCTGTTAACACCAGTGATGATGATGTGGGTTTTTAACGTCTCTTTCATGAACTAACTCTTTGTCTCTTCTCTGTTCTTTCTTTCTTGCTCAGGTGTCCAAATGAATTTACAGGTGATCGCTGCCAAAACTATGTAATGGCCAGCTTTTACAGTATGTTTACTTCCTCATCTAACCGTTCTGTGATTAGAGCATGCTCAGTTACTGTGCTTGTACTGTTTGTGTACCTGTTCAGTCGTTTCCTTAAGCCGGGCGTACACTGTATGATATCAAGCTGGTTTAGACCCAATTTACGAGTTATACGACTCTTTTTTTTAAATTTAAGTTGAATTTCAGCCTGATCGCCCGGCGTTAGGTGTACAAGGTTCTTCACAATCCTTTCAAGGGTTTTTATTATTTAAAAAAAATCAATTAGTTGTTTAGGACTAGTGATGGGGTTACAATAATAATAATAATAATAATAATATATTTTATGTAAAGGTGCCTTCCAAAGCACTCAAGGTCACTTTACAAAGCAGAGATAAAAACAACAAAGTAACAAAATATATATACATTTAACATTAAAAAGACAAATTTACAGAATATAAAATTAAAGTTCCAGAGGACGGGGCAGAGTGGCTAAAAGCTCAGGACCCCGTGGTGGACAGGCGGGCGGTTGGTGCAGTGAGTTGAATGGAGGAAGAACACCTAAGAGTGTGGATGGGTGTGTTCATGTGCAAGAGTTCAGAGAGGTACAGAGGAGCGAGGTTATGGATGGCCTTACAGTTGAGGAGCAGAATCTTTTAGTCAATGCGATATTTAACCGAAGCCAATGAAGCTGCTGAAGGAAATGAGTGATGTGATTATTCAAGGGGGTTCTGGGGGATTATGCAAGTGGGTTAGGGGTAGGGTTATGTAACCAGGGTGTTAATGATTATGGCAGTACTGTAGGGTGAGATAGGAGGTTGAAACGGAGGAGTGGTCAACAGTGAGAGAAAAACTGTCAGGTTGAAGAGAACCTGAGGAGAAAATCGGTTTTGTCACTGTTTAATTTCAGTAAGTTGCAGGAGAAGCAGGATTTAATATCCTGTAGGCAGGAGGGGGAGGAGGTGGGTTTGGTGGATAGGTAGAGCTGGGTGTCATCCGCATAGCAATGGAACTGGATGCTATATTTTCACAGAAGATAGGAAGAGTAAGGAGATAGATTGAACAGAAGGGGGCCCAGGACAGAACCCTGAAGAACCGCTGTAGTGACTGGAATTGGCTAGTGTTTGAAGGTTTTGAGTTCAATGAACTGAGTGCAATCAGAGAGATATGATTGAAACCCAGTTCAAGGGTGTTTCAGTGATTCCAATGGAGGCTAGTCTGTCAAGGAGTATGTTATGAGAGATTATGTCAAAGTACACACTTTTGTGTGAGCTCTCAGGTCATCCCCGACAATCAGAACTTTCAATTTGAGCTCTTTAATCATGAGCTGTGGTCGTGTTTCATAAATGATTCAGTCATAAAGTAAGAGAGGTGACATTCAACTACGACTTCTATACAATCATACAGAGTACGCCTGGTTAATTTGATTCATGCAGCCTGAAACTCTTAAGTTTCACTCCACATTGTGTGCCTGAATGCTGCATGTTTTACAAGTTAAGTCAAATTCCATCACAAAGGACAAACATTAATAGTGATTTGCACGTTTACCCCTTTAAACCCAGAGATTTAGGGTCTTTACTGTCAGTATGCTTAAATATGTAAATCCTGTATCCACACAAAGATGTGAATTATATCTGTTTCATTAGAGCTCAGTGTAAACTGTTGTCAGTAGAACGTTAGGGTTATGTTATTTTTAACTAACAGTCTGACAGGCTGGGCAGGGATTTAAGTTTTGTCCGTTAATTGACTAGTTCTTCCTCATTAGGACTTTTTACTTTCATTATTTATAAAATTGTGAAATTAAAGAAAACAGATAAATATACAAATGTGAGAGAAATGATTCCAAAAATATGAGAATTGCTGGTTCTCTGAAGAAGTTTAAAACTTGGTGTCAAAAACCTTTTTACATTGTGCAGCACGGAGAGAAGACATTACAGTAGTTCTCTGAAGACAGTCAGGCTCATACTGCCTTTAAAGACCCTGACACACTTCTAGTCTGTATAATAGGATCTGATGGTCAATAGTGTCAAAAGCAGCACTAAGATCTAATAAGACGAGCACAGAGAGAAGTCCCCTGTCTGAAGCTAGAAGTAGATCGTTTGTAACTCTAACTAGTGCAGTCTGAGTTCTATGGTGGACTCTAAATCCTGACTGAAACTTCTCAAATAAACTGTTGTCATGGAGAAAGTCACACAGCTGTTTAGCTACCACTTTCACCAGGATCTTTGAGATAAAAGGAAGGTTGGATATAGGCCTGTAGTTTGCTAGAGTTCCTGAATCTAGAGTAGGCTTTTTAAGTAGAGGTTTGATTACCGCTACTTTAAATGACTGTGGTACATAGCCTGCCAGTAAAGACATATTGATCATATCTAATATAGAGCTGCTAAAAAAGGGAAAGACTTCTTTCAGCAAATGATGTCTAGGAATACATGACTCTCTGTCAGCCTGGCTATAGTGTTGAGGTATCTACTTAAGATAAGATAAGAAAAGATCAACTTTCTTGATACCCCATTGGGCAATTATTTTGTTGTTGCAGCAGCTCAAATAAACAAGACTTTTGTTCACACTTTCATCATTGAGACTGATATGAGAAGAATCTGGTTGATCTAGTACTTGCAAAAATAACTTCTTAAAGTTAAGTTTGATGGCCAATCTATGTTAATCTGAAGTCACTTTTGAGGGTAACAGTAAAAGTGAAGGTGGGTTTTTCAGACATCGCCGAGGAGAGGAGGGGTCAGTAACACCTCAACCTTTGGTCTTAGGGTTAGGGTTAGGGTTATGTGGTGAAACTATCAGTTAAACCCAAAACAAAACTATGTAGCATATGAGTAAAAGTGATGTAATCATGCACCTCTTATCATGTTTTTACAGAATAGAAAAGGACATAATGTCACAGCACACACAACATTCAAAAGTTATTTTAGGCATCTTAAACTTTCTCACGAAAAGATGTTGTGTTTATAACTCATTAAGTATTAATTTCAGTTTCTAAGATCACTACAATGACTTTTTTTCTATATGATTCAAAGCTATAGAGGACACTAATAGAATAGAATAGAATAGAATTACTTTATTGATCCCAAACTGGGAAATTGTGGCGTTACAGCAGCAGGTTATCCAACACACAATATGAGTAAAAAACACAATATTAGCAATCTAAACACAATATAATATTAACTACAAAGTGAATAAGTACTAAAAGATATCAAAAATAAGAATGTGAATATATACAACCAGGATTTAACTAAGCATTACTAGTCTGAAATAGGAAGATTAAATATGGAAGATTGAATGTACATGTGCAAAAACAGAGTCGTAGATGATTATAAATTAAATATGAAAGATTTAAATGTAAATGTGCAAAAACAGAGCCGTAAATTAAATATGAAAGATTGAAGGTAAATGTGCAAAAACAGAGTAGTAAATGGACATTATTGACATAAGTTAAAGTGCATGAGTATAGCCATATTATAAGCAGAAACTATACAATATAAAGGCGAGTAGACAGCCAAATGAGGTGAACATGAGTGCAGGGATAATTTGTAAATTTAACATGTGCAGAACAGATTACAGTATGGAGAGACAGTTATTATCATGATGACAGTTCTCTGCTCGCATGAGGTGAGCTGTTGTACAGAGTCATGGCCTTCGGTAAGAAAGATTTCTTGTATCTGTCCTTGTGACAGCGGAGGTGTATCAGTCTGTTGGAGAAGCTGCTTCGCTGTTTGTCCAGTAGGGTGTGCAGAGGGTGATCAGGATTATCCATAATGGATAACAGTTTGTTCAGAGTCCTCCTCTCTGTCACCACTACAAAAGAGTCCAGCTTGCAGCCTATCACAGAGCAGGCCTTCTTAATGAGTTTGTCCAGTCTCTTAGTGTCACCAGCTCCAATGCTGCTCCCCCAGAAGACCACAGCAGAGAACAGTGCACTGGCCACAACAGACTGATAGAAGATCTCCAACATCTTGCTGCACACGTTGAAGGCTCTCAGCTTCCTCAGAAAGTGGAGTCGGCTCATCCCCTTCTTGTACACATCCTGAGTGTTGGCCTTCCAGTTCAGTTTGTTGTCTATGTTGACACCCAGGTACTTGTACTCCTCCACCACAGACACGTCCTCTCCCAGGATGCATAGCAGTGGTGGCTCTGTCCTCTTCCTTCTGAAGTCGATCACCATCTCCCTGGTCTTATCCACGTTCAGAATCAGGTGATTTCTTCCTGTCCACTCGACAAAGTTATCCACCAGCTCTCTGTACTCCCCCTCTTGCCCATCATTTATACACCCAACCACCGCAGAGTCATCAGAAAACTTCTGCAAGTGGCATGACCTGGAGTTGTACTGAAAGTCAGAGGTGTACAAGGTGAAAAGGAAAGGAGACAGCACAGTACCCTGTGGAGCTCCTGTACTACTCTCCACCATTCCAGACTGAACACTGCCAAGTCGGACAAACTGTGGTCTGTCTGTCAGGTAGTCAGTAATCCAGGAGGTGATGGACGAGTCCACACCCATCAACTGCAGCTTCTCTTCCAGCAGTTGTGGCTGGATGGTGTTGAATGCACTGGAGAAATCAAAAAAAGTGATTCTCACAGTGCAGCCGTTTCCCTCCAGATGTGAGTGAGCACGCTGCAGCAGGTAGATGATGGCATCGTCCACTCCCAGGTGTGGCTGGTAGGCAAATTGTAGAGGGTCAAGGGATGGTTTCACCTGTGGCCTGAGGTGGGTCAAGACTAGCCTCTCTAACACTTTCATCACATGAGATGTGAGAGCCACTGGTCGATAGTCCTTCAGATCAGATGGTGTCGTCTTCTTTGGGACCGGGACCAAGCAGGACGTTTTCCACAGCACCGGTATCCTCTCCTGGCTCAGACTCAGGTTGAAGAGGTGTTGCAGAATCTCAGACAGCTGGCTGGCACAGGTCTTCAGAACCCTTGGGCTGATGCCGTCCGGGCCTGGAGCCTTGCTGATGTTTAGTTTCTCCAGCTGTCTCTTCACCTGGCCAGTTGTTAGAGTCGGGGGGGGGGCAGGAAGTGCACTCCTGTGGTGCGGGGCCAGAGTCCAAAGAGTTCACCATGGGGGGTTGGGAGAAAATACAAAGGGAGGCTGTAAGGTGTGGAGTACAGGGGTGTTGTTTGAGGTGGGTTAGATTACAACTTTTTTATGTTATTGCAGCTGTGGCACCCTGTGATCGAGCTGGTCTCATATATGGAATATTTCATTGATTATATTAACTTATAAATGAAAGTCTGAAAATGTATCCTACTTTAATTCAATGTCCTGAGTGTGTGCATGAAGAAATCACTCAAAGCTGCATGTCCACTTGTACAGAATTCATTGGCTACAAGAAACTATATACAAAATAGAAAATATCAACACAGTCACGTGCAATAGGCTGAAAGAGAACAGGGGGAGGCACCTCCTTTCCACTCCAACCCTCATTGGCTGTAATAGGCTGGGAACAATGAAGGTCTTAATTAGCCAAATGCGGTGTACGTCAAATGTCCAGAGTGAGGCCAGCATTTTGAAGTAATGCAGTCAAAAAAATGCAGCAGGCTGTGCTTGTTGGATTATTATGATCAGGAGAACCGACAGCAAACATTGTTGATTGTTTGTCGTTGGTCTGACAGATGTGTAGATTGTAGCAGCTGTGGTGGTCTGACAGATGTGTAGATTGTAGCTGCTGTGGTGGTCTGACAGATGTGTAGATTGTAGCTGCTGTGGTGGTCTGACAGATGTGTAGATTGTAGCAGCTGTGGTGGTCTGACAGATGTGTAGATTGTAGCTGCTGTGGTGGTCTGACAGATGTGTAGATTGTAGCTGCTGTGGTGGTCTGACAGATGTGTAGATTGTAGCTGCTGTGGTGGTCTGACAGATGTGTAGATTGTAGCAGCTGTGGTGGTCTGACAGATGTGTAGATTGTAGCTGCTGTGGTGGTCTGACAGATGTGTAGATTGCAGCTGCTGTGGTGGTCTGACAGATGTGTAGATTGCAGCTGCTGTGGTGGTCTGACAAATGTGTAGATTGTGTCTGCTGTGGTGGTCTGACAGATGTGTAGATTGTGTCTGCTGTGGTGGTCTGACAGATGTGTAGATTGTAGCTGCTGTGGTGGTCTGACAGATGTGTAGATTATGGATGCTGTGGTGGTCTGACAGATGATCTGACCTGCACACACTGGGCCATCTTGTGTCTGCTGTATTGGACATGTATAATATGGTTATGAGGTCACATTAATGCAGACGTAATGATAATGGATAAAATCCTGACATAGAATGCATTTCTATTCCAAGTCTAGAACACAAACAGTTTAAGGATGTGGTTAAACTCAAATGTTGAAAATAAGAATATTGATCAATGACCACTAAAAAAGGCATTCAACCATCAGCAAGAGATGGTTAAATCAGGTTCAACTATGTAAAACGTTATTCAGGGACAGGCCTACATTTTAAAATAGACATTCAAATAATTTTATACAGACATCATCATTAATATAGAATCAGCTGTTTATAAATAAACGTCATCATTTATATAGAATCAGCTGATTATTAATAAACGTCATCATTAATACACAATCAGCTGTTAATTAGCTGTTTATTGGTGCATGTCATGCTGGCTGCTGTAATTGTCAAAGCTCTTCTTGTTTCTGGTTTTTATGTTCTGGTTAAGAATGGACTGTCCTCTTTTTCAGAAGCCGAGGAGCTGTATCAGAAACGTATTTTAACAATATCAGGAATCTGCATTGCTCTCCTAGTCGTTGGAATCATGTGTGTGGTTGCCTACTGCAAAACAAAGTAATTAATTAGTCATAAATCTATGTTAACATAATATTTCAAGTCATTAATTTCAATTTTTTATGTTTTAATTTCATAGTTAAAGTCATGCATATCACATTTTATGTTTTTATTTCATAGTTAATATTTTTATTTCCTGTTTTCATTTCACATTTTTAAGTTATTTTTATTTTGATATTTAAAGGTAGATCTCCTGATTTGATTACAGTTCCCAACAGTACCAACAGGTCACAGACCAAAGTTTAAAGATTAAAATATTTAGTTAACATTTGGAAAGCTGTATAAAGATGCTAATGAATATTTCATCAAACATTTAATTGAATCATTGACACAAAGTTTATTGGCTTTAGAAGACGTGGCTCTCAGCATGTGTTTACAATGAATTCATACTTTTGATTGATTTATCAACCTATTTTTGTTCTGTTGAAGTTCTGACCGTCAAACTTTATTTATGACCAAGCTTGATGACATAAGGTTTGAACGGTGTTTCAACATCTCGAGTCAAAATGAGAAAATGTATCCAACAGTCAATGCCAGTCAATAATAATCAGAAACCACTGGCTCCAATAACCCAGATAAAGTATTAAAGTTCATCTAATAAAGGCCTGATGTAGTTTTTGAGATAATTCAGAATAAAACATTAACTTATTGATAAGACACATAAAACAAGACGTCATCTGCATAATGTGATCAGAGACTCAGACCACCTCAAACTTCTGGTGGTACTGTCGGGTTACTGTAACTGCATTAGGAAGTAATTAGTTCTGACATCTGACTAATATGTTCTATCAAATTAGAATTACTACATTCAAGTCATAATGACATTACATGACACAGGATTCATGTATATGCTGTCCTGCTTAGCCATTTGATGTTTTCACAAACAGGAAGCAGAGGAAGAAACTTCAGGACCGTCTGAGGCAGAGTCTGAGGACAAAGAAGAAGAAGCAGAAAAACACCAAAACTGGTCCCAAACAGGCGAGCTCAGCCAGAGGACAACACATCACAAACATGCCTCTTCAAGATCTGCAGCCTGTCAGTGTACACTGTGACTCATTAGTTTCAATAAACCAAAGTAATCCTGCACGAACTGTATCCTCACATCAATCTCTTTGTGTTTTATTAAGCAATCTAACGGGACGAGCGCGCAGCATGCAGCTGACAAGGACACGGAAACAACCTTCACAAGCAAGAATGCCTTTCCTGCTCATGAACACACAACGTTCACACACGTCTCCAGCCAAAGGTGAGGGACAAGTTTATATATGTTTATTTTACACCTCAGTAAATCAGCTTCAATTATGAGTACTTTACCTGGCTCAGGTGAGGGGATGGACAGGTAACATGTTATGAATGATGATCATTGGTTGTCCTGAGGGGCGGGGGGGGGGGGAGGCCTAACCAGAAATTAAACTGAAATAACAGAAATCTTTAGCTGCTGTGAAACCTGTGTAAAGTTATACCTGACCCCTGACCCCGTAATTCAGTATAAACAAAACATTTTAGAACAGGCTCCACTGAAGCTTCATAGATTTTCAATCTGTGATTATAACTTCAGATACAGTTCATTGTTTTAAATAATTATCAGTGGATTGAGTCTTGAGTCTTGAGTCTGAGATCAGCTCCTTCATAACATACCACAAAGAGATCGGTATCGCCTTAAATGAACATTTTCATCTTTCTTATTTGAAGAAATCTATACAGGACCCCCGTTATCCATCACACTGCTCAGGTGATGCAAAGATTAAGTGCTCAATGCCTTACTTGCTTTAGACAAAATATTATATTAGTGAGGATAAACTTGATCCCTACTTTTTAAAGCTTGCAGCCCCTGTTTTAGTCAACTTATATTTTAACCCTTCTGTTTCATCTGGTACAGTCCCCCTATTTGGTTAATAGTCAAATGTTTATAAAGGTTCTGTCCTTCACAATAGGATTTAATCAGCAAATAGACTTGTTGTGACCTGCTAAGTAGATTGTTTGGCAGACTAAGTGTTTGCTCTCCATTATTTTAAACTGTCAGTGGCGTCACTCAAGGCTTGAAGTGTTTTACCACGCATGGAAAGACAGCCTGACCACCTACCAATCTAGGATGTCAGTCGCAAAAGCAGCCTACTATTCAAGTTTGATTTAAAATAATAGGCATAATTCCAGACTATTATTTGGTATTGTTTCTAGGCTCTCACAGTGTGATCAGGCAGTCAGTGGCACTGACCTATCTGCACATGATTTTTTATTGGTTTTTAATGACAGGGTTGATAACATCAGAGTCAGAATACCCCAGTTCTACAATGACAAAGCAGAGTGTGTTGCTGCTATGTCCATCTGTACAGGACAAGGCTTTTCTGATTTTGAACCAATTTCTTTGGCTTCTTTGACTAAGGTTGTAATTTTGGCATGATGTACAACCTGCTCACTTGATCCTCTGCCGTCTTGGGTTGTCAAAGAGCTTTGGCCTACACTAGGACCTTATGTTTTATCTATCGTAAACTCATCCCTCCTCACAGGAGTTTTTCCAGCTTGCTCCAAAACTGCTGTGGTAAAACCCTTACTAAAGAAGCCTAGCTTGGATGGAGACTCCCTGACCAACTATAGACCTGTTTCAAACCTTGCTTTCTTGTCAAAAGTTTTTGAGAAAGTGGTCTCAAATCAGCTTCTAAATTATTTATCACTAAATAAGCTATTTGAGCCATTTCAGTCTGCTTTTCGGGTAAATCATTTGACAGAAACAGCACTTACGAAAGTGATGAATGATTTGCTACTATCTTTAGATTCAGACTCAACCAGTGTTTTATTGTTATTGGATCTTAGCGCTGCCTTCGATACGGTTGACCACTGGATTCTACTAGATAGGCTTGAGAACTATTTTGGCATCTCAGGACAAGTTCTGGAGTGGTTAAGATCCTATCTGTCAGAAAGATCTCAATGTGTTTTATACGACAACATACTCTCTAAGCCCTGTGCTGTTAGGCACGGGGTTCCACAGGGGTCTGTACTGGGTCCATTGCTGTTCTCACTTTACCTATCCCCACTGGGTCAGATATTGCATTCTTTTGGGATTGCTATTCATTGTTATGCTGACAATTTGCAGTTGTACATGCCATTAGGTTTAGGAAGTAAGTACGATACAGCTAAACTTGAGGCCTGTCTTGCAGCTGTTAAGAGCTGGTTATCAAAAATGTTGTTGTTGCTTAATTCTGCTAAGACAGAAATTATGTTTATCGGACCAGCGAAACTGGGTCATCTTTTTGATCCTATTACTTTGTCTCTCGATTTGTGTAATCAATCGCAGAGACCGAGTTAAGAATCTTGGTGTGCTTTTCGATCAGACACTACCGTTTGAATTACACATAAAGGAAGTGACCAGAGTTGCTTTTTTCCACCTGAGAAACTTCTCCAAGATCAGATCAATCTTGTCGTTTAAGGATGCTGAGGTCCTCATCCATGCCTTTGTGTCATCTAGGCTGGATTATTGTAATGTCCTTCTGTCGGGTCTGCCAAAGAAAAGTCTGCAAAGTCTGCAGATGGTTCAGAATGCTGCAGCTCGTGTTCTGACCGGAGCCTGCAGATATGAACGCATTACCCCGGTGTTGGCCTCTCTTCATTGGCTCCCTATTCATGCCAGAGCAGATTTTAAGGTGCTAACTTTTAAAATATGAAATGGCAGCGCACCATCGTATCTTACCGACCTGGTGAACCCCTATGTGCCTGCCCGAGCCCTGTGTTCTCAAGGGACGGGTCTTCTGAGTGTCCCAAAGGTCAGAAAGAAGACAGTTGGTGAGCGGGCTTTTTCTTTCCGTGCACCGACACTTTGGAACAGGTTACCTCTGGACATCAGGCAGGCTTGTTTTTTTGAGGTTTTTAAAGCAAAGTTAAAGACCCATCTGTTTACTGTTGAATATGAGTCATGGTTTCTCTGTGTGTTTTTCCTGTATTTTAACTGTATTGCTTTGTACAGTACTTTGATTTAAAGCGCTTTATAAATAAATGTATTATTATTATTATTATTATAAATTTCTTCAACACCCACCAACTGCAGGGATGGGCATTGGGTTTAGGTGCAGTGGGGACTGGGCGGCAGGCAAAGGATTGTCACCTCTCTGGCGGGGAAGGACCCAGAGCTGGTTTGGGGAGTTTGAGTGCTACCAACTAGATAAAGTTGGGCTCACATCAATGCACAGAACTGGTTCTCGAACCAATCTCCTGAGGAGGGTTTAGACTCCCTGTCCTTTACCCAGGTGAGAGGCACCAGGTGAGAGTGTGGATACTTACAGGCCCCCGGCTGAGTGCTGCTGTGTTGAGGTTTTCCCCAGTCAACAAGAGGGCCACCTCCCTGTGACTGCAAGTAGTAGGGAGTAAGGCTCTGCTGAACAGCAGTGCGGAGTATGCAGCCTTCTTGAAGTCTCTGGGTGGGGTCCTGGAAGGGGTTCCGCATGGGGACTCTATAGTTCTACTGGGGAATTCAACACTAATATAAGCAATGATAGAGGAACGGCCTGCCAGATCTGAACCAACCTGGTGCTCTGTTACTTAACTTATGTGCTAGTCATGGAATTGGTCATAACAAACACCATGTCTAAGCATAGGGAGGTTCATAAGTGTATCTTGTACCACAACACCCTAGGCTAAAGATCATTGATCGACTTTGTCGTCATGTCATCAGATCTGCGGCCATATGTCTTGGACACTTGGATGAAGAAAGAAGCAGAGCACCACCTGCTGGTGAGTTTGATCAGGTGGCGAGGGAAGCTGCCTGACAGACCTGATAAAGCTAAACATGTTGTTTGGGTGAACTGGGAACGTTTGGCAGCGGCCCCTGTTTGTGAAGACTTTAACTCCCACCTCTGGAAGGACATGGAGTCTGAGTGGTCCATGTGGAAAGCCTCTATTATGGAAGTGGCTACTAGGAGTTGGAGCAAGAAGACCAGTTGTGTCAGTAACCTTAGAACCCGCTGTTGGACACCAGCGATGAAGGAAGCTGTCAGGCTAAAGAAAGAGACCTTTCAGGCTTAGTTAGCCCAGAGGTCTCTGGAAGCAGCTGACAGGTTTCAGGTGGCTTGGAGGGCTATGGCTAAAGTAGTTGCAGAAGCAAAATCCTAGGTGTGGGAGGAGTTCGGGAGGCTATGGAGAAGGACTTAAAGTTGGCCTGAAGAACAATACTAATTTTGTCCTGGCTGTTGGACAGTGGACCAGTTCTTTTACTTCAAAGGGCTTCTTGGGGGGGCATGGGGCTATGCTCATCCAGTCTAGATGTGTTTTGTAAACCTGGAGAAGGCTTATAGTTATGTCCCTTGAGGGGTAATGCGTGGGGTATTTTGGGAGTACTCTAGTCCCTGTATGACCAAAATGAGAGCAGGGTCGGCATTTTCTGCACAAAGTCAGATACATTCCCTGTGCATGTTGGCCCCCTGTAGACAGGTGTCTGAGTGTCCATTCGCTCTGTCTATAGTGTGACTTGCCCTCTAAGAAGAGCTGGTTTGTGGGTAATGTATGCCCGTATTGTAGTGTTAAAGTTATGCTTGAGTTAATAACAGGATGATGAACAGACACATTGAATCTCATGGGAAAAAGGGAAAACTGTTTATGAAAGTTATAATGCTGACTCGGTCATTACACTGGGTGGTGATGATTAAAGTAAAACTGTTAACATTAAACAATTATACTGTCTAATCAAAGCTCAACAGGGGGCAGGCCACCTTTTCGTGTATTTATAAGAAATATTTAAATTAATAATGAAACATAAATTATGAAGAACTGTACAAAGAAACACTTCAGACTGAATCAGTGCCATACTGTGATAATTAAAAATGCTTCATCGTTTAATTAATAAATTTAATGAATTGATAAAAACTCAACACCACCTGCCTCTGTGTGTTCACATTAATCTACATAATGCACATTTGTTTCTGCTGAGTCATGTTCAACAAATCTGATTAGACGATTAACTACAAAATCACTAATTGAGATTTGAAGTCAGACTGTCATTAAAGTAAAACGCAGTGAAAGCCTCAGACACACAAACGTTATATTTACATCTGAACCCTGTCTCCGTGTCAACGCCCCTCCCTGTCTCTGCAGCTGGACTAATGACTGGAGCAACAGTGTTCTGTCTGACACAGAGTCTGTCTCTGTGATGTCATTGCCGGAGAGTAGCCAGCGTGCCCCGCAGGGTGGCCGGGGCCGTCTGAATGCCACCGCTGGCACCAGAGACTTAAGTGCTCATTCAAAGAAGAGACGCGACTCCCCCATCTCCGACATGCCTTAAAGTATGAGGTAATTGATTGATTTTACCTTTAAACACTCCAAACAGAAAAAAATTAACTGCCAATAGGACAACAATGACCTTCAGAACACACATACAGTATACAGCAAATAATGTTTAAAAAAATGAAAATACAATAAACAGCACACATATTTAAAAAGGACTAAACTCATTAACCTGTCTGTTTAAATCAGCTAACAGAGTTAAAAAACATTAAAATACATTAAACTGAATTTTTAAATCAGCATTCAGAGGGGGCTCTGTTGTGAAGGTTGGATCAGACGTCTTTCATTGGCAGAGCGTAGTGGGCAGGAGGGAGTGTAGACCTGGATTATAGAGTTTATGTAAGGAGGAGCCGTTTCTGTGACTGATTTGTAAGCGAGCAGCAGAGATTTACATTTGATGCAAGCAGTACATGACATGTGCTGTTGTGGGGAGGATGAAGACCAGTCGTGCTGCTGCATTTTGTATCATCTGCAGGGGTTTGATAGTGCATGTAGGAAGACCTGCCAGTAGAGAGTTGCAATAGTCGATGCGTGATATCACAAGAGCCTGTACCAGGAGCTGTGTAGCGTGTTCTGACAGGTAAGGTCTGATCTTCCTGATGTTGTTCAGGGCAAATCCACATGACCTGGCAATCGAGGCTACTTGAACCTTAAAAGTCAGCTGGTCATCAATCATGACACCCAGGTTCCTGCAGACTTTGTGGGCATGAGTTTGGTTGTTCCAAGCTGGATATTGATCTGTGGTTGCATAGAGGGACTGGCTGGGATGACAAGGAGCCCAGTCTTTGAAAGATTGAGTTGAAGGAGCCGTTCATTCATCCATTTAGAGATATCAGCAAGGCATGATGAGATTCTTGTAGAGACTGTAACATCGTCTGGCGGGAATGACAGGAAGAGCTGGGTATCGTCAGTATAGCAGTGGTATGAAGAGCCTGAGAGCAGATTATTGAACCAAGTGAGCTTGTGGATATAGACAAGAGAAGGGGACCAAGCACTGACCCTAAAGGATCGCCCAGAGAGGTAGAACAGGAACCAGCGGAGATCAGATCCTAAGATAGTTCAAAGAGCGTGGAAAAGGAGGATTTGATGGTTGACTGTGTCAAAGGCAGCAGACAGGAGTAGCGTCAATAGAAATGACGATTAACCTGGAACTCTAACCAAACAGAGATTCTCTTGCTGACAGTAGTGCAGTTTCAGTAGAGTGGCCCCGCTTAAAGCCTGACTGATTTGGGTCAAACAGATCGTTTCTGGACAGGAACTCAGAGACTTGCTTAAAGACTGTGCGCTCAAGTATTTTTGACAGAAAGGGCAGAAGAGAAACCGGTCTGTAGTTTTCAACCTGGGTTGGGTTTAGTGTGGGTTTTTTGAGCAGAGGGGTGACCCGAGCTTGCTTGAATGCGATGGGGAACACACCCGTTGACAGAGAGGAGTAGATGATATGCTTAAGTGCAGCATTAAGCGGAGAGGAAATGGTCTGCAGGAGGCTTGATGGTATTGGGTCCAGAGGACAGGTGGTGGGCCGAGAGTCTAGCACAAGCTTAGAGACTTCATCCTCAGAGAGGAGAATGAGTCGAGTGAGGCACTTTTGGTTGGTGCCTTTGGGCTGAGATGACCTTGTATCTGTGGCATTGCAGATCTTATTCTGATAATATGTTGTCTTAGCTGTTTTTAGGCTTGAAGAGAATGAGGTTAGTGGACTCTTCGTATTTACAACATTTTCTCTCTGCTGACCTCAGCCCTGGTCTTTGCTCTCTGATGACTTCATTGAGCCATGAACTAGTGGAGGTGTTATGAGCAGGTTTGGACACTAGAGGGGAGATTTTTTTCAGAGATGAGGGTAGTGTGGAACAGAGTGTGTCTGTATCCTAACCTGTTAAGAGTGTGGCAAAATCCTTATGGGCAGGCATGGCAACCAAGACCTCGTTAGACAGCTGAGCTGAATTAAGGGATTGGATGATTTTATGGTTCGAAACCATTCGTGGTGGTGCCTGAGGGAGTTCATGTAAGGAGATTGTGAATTGAATAAAAAAGTGGTCTGATAGCTGCAGAGGGTTGACAGTCAGGGTTGCTGTCAAGCAGTTCTGAGTCTAAATCAAACCAAGAGCATTGTCTGCTTTGTGGGTAGGAGGAGTGGAAACCTGCTTGAGGTCAAATAGGATAAGAGTGCTTGGTGGTCTGTTGCTTGGGCTTTATCAGTGTGGATGTTCATCGTGTACTCATGAATGATAGTGTAGAGATTTTTTTGTAGCACATGGTACGTTAGGTGTAAGTGAGTATGACTGTATGTGTGTTGGAACCCAGGAAGAATAGCCAATGTATATGCTGGTGAAAGAAAAGGTAGGCAACAAGAGGAAATATAAGTCCTAGCTCAGTGGCCTTCCTCCGTGGACTTGTGCAGGTGGACTTGCTGATCTTTACCCAATACAGTCTTAAAAGAATAAGGGCTGATGCTTCAATGTACTCTTAAAACCCGGAATGAACCTGCCCCTGCATGACCTCTCTTAATGACGCTCAGAGGATGAAAGTTAAGTGCCCGGCCCAAATAAAGCCTGACAACGACCCACTATTGATCTCCACTCAAGCTAACCTAAGCTGAATGCAACCTTCCTAGTTTCCAGACCAGAGCTCGTCTGCTCACTAAAGGTAAAGAAAGATAACCAAACACATCACACCAACACACTCATTTCACCAGTCCTCAATTCTCTAGGGTTCTCAATAACTCACAGGCTTCTTGTCATCAAATAATTGACTAATTGATTGATTGATTGACTGATTTAGTGACTTATTGATTGACTGATTAATTGGTGGATTTATTGATTGATTTAAAATAAACTGTCCCTTCATATACTTACCCTTCCTAGTCTTGGGTCAGGCCTTGGCATCCCCTCATGTCCTCAGGGACAGGTTTCCTCAGTGTTCCCCGAACCTCAACCAAACACGGTGAGGTGCTCCTGAGCAGTGAAACAAGCTCCCGGAGAACCTGAAGCATTCTCCATCCATTGGCTGTTTTAAAACAGGACTTAAAACATTTGTATACATTGTTGCCTTGTTTTAAGATCAATCAAATACACTTTTTTTTCATTATTTCATTTAGGGTTTGTCACTCTCTTGGATATTGTAATTATACATCCAGCTTACTCACAGTGACGTTTTTCAGTGCAGATATCTTCTTTTTGGGGGAAACTTTTGCCTTTGTAGGATAGTTGAAGTTGACAGTTGAAGAGACAGTAAATGTTGGGAGGAGAGAGGGGTGGATGACATGTAGCAAAGGGCCGAGTTTGGATTCCAACCCACGGCAGCTGCTATGAGGACTACATCCTCTGTAGATGGGGTGCGTGTCATAACCGCTAGGCTATCTGGCACCCCAGTGCAGTTATATCTTAAACTTTCTCTCAGTTTTAAATTTTTAGAAGCACTATCAGTGGTCTTTTTTACGCTGTGTGTATTATTTTGTATTTCATTCAGAGTAATATTCAATAACTTGACATTGTTTGTTTTTTTAAAGATTTATTTTGGCCTTTTCGTGTCTTTAATGCAGAGAGAGGACAGTGGATAGAGTCAGAAACCAGGGAGAGAGAGGACAGTGGATAGAGTCAGAAACCAGGGAGAGAGAGGACAGTGGATAGAGTCAGAAACCAGAGAGAGAGAGAGGACAGTGGATAGAGTCAGAAACCAGGGAGAGAGAGGACAGTGGATAGAGTCAGAAACCAGAGAGAGAGAGAGGACAGTGGATAGAGTCAGAAACCAGAGAGAGAGAGAGACAGTGGATAGAGTCAGAAACCAGGGAGAGAGAGAGAGGACAGTAGATAGAGTCAGAAACCAGAGAGAGAGAGAGCAGGGAATGACATGCGGAAAGGGGCCACGGGTGGAAGCGAACCCGGGCCTACCACTTGAGACGAGAGTCTCAATACATGGGACGCGCGCCCTAACCATTGCGCCACCAGCGCGCCCCGATAACTTGACATTGTTGTGTTGTCTTTTATTTTTAGACAAAGTCCTGTCTGACACCTTCATGTTTTTGTTGAAGGTTTATACCATCCCTGACATCCCCTGGGTCCAGGACGTCCCTTACGACTCCAGGGTCTCCTCCGTCAGAGATGTCCGTCCCCATCTCCAGCCTGGCCGTCTCTGTCCCATCTGTGGCTTTAAGCCCGTCTGGGGAAGAGGAGCGCCCCCTGCTGTTGTTGAACAACCGTCGAACACGAGATGAACAGAAGAGGTCCTCTGCTCACTACAATCACGGCCATGTGGCTCACAGTTTACCAGCGAGCCCACTATTACCTGACAAGAAAGGTGACTGCCAAGTCATAGGTGAGCATGAAGACACCGCTGGCAGCCAGGTGTTCTCACCAGATAATCTACCTGAGACAAACATGAAGAGAGCAGAGGTCACACACAGCATGGAGTCCAGCTGTGATAGCATGCCAACAGATGACATTCATGGGGAACAAACGCCCTTCATCGCCACAGGAAGTCAGTCAGCTCGACTGCTTGAGGTTTCAGATGTCAGCAGGACTAACACAGCAGCACCACTCAATGACCGGCGAGACGAATCTTCATGTCCCACCAACAAACCAGATCCAGAGTCAGTGTGAAAAAAAATAATAGTCACCATTAAACCTTTATTTTCTATAAACAATTTGCTGTAAATGGAAAATAAGACTTTTATTTTAGTGATGTAGTAAATACAGAGTTTTATAAAAAGTAAAAATGTGTTCATGTCTTGTAGGTAAAGTGCCATACGCTGGTATGTAGCAACGGTTCACAGTATATTTCAGTGCAGAACTAATATCAAGGTGCCTTTCTGTTTGTTATGCTTAACTGCAGCAATGCATTCTGGGCCGTATATTCACCATCTTAATGTTACAGTCATCAATAACCTGCTGGCTCATTTTGAAGTACCCACCAATGACAGATTGACGATAAACGTTGGCCTTTGAGGTGCATGCTGCGTCCTTATGCTGTCATGAAAAAGAAACATTCATTTCCTCTGCTGGTTGATCACCTTATGAACACCTGGACTGATGTCAACCATGAATCAGCTCATTACCTGCATTTCTGAGAAGATATTCATGATCAGAATTTCTATTGCTGACTGTTTGATCCAGAATCTTACAAGAAACTGTGAGATGAAGGTGCAGTCAGTAAATATTTATTAATCATTTATTACTAATAATGTGCTCAAATCAAATCAGTTTGTTAATCTGAGTAATTCAGATTCATTGTTTTTATGAAACTAGGAAACTGCACTAACAAATTCATAACGTAAAGATAAAAAAAACTATTAATGTATGCATAAAAAAACAAAGAATGTAAAGCAGCGGCCTCAACATCCTGAAAAGAAAAGTTTGCTGGATTCTACATTTTCACAGATGTTCATAAATGCCTTTAAAATCTGTTTAACGTCTTTTGTAATGACTCAGTTAAACTTAAGCATGAAGACCAGCAGCTTTATTCTTCCAAAGAAAACGAGTGCCCTCCATCCAGTCATGGTGCTGATTGCATCTTTAAATGTGCACTACACAGAAGAATGAATAAATGTCTAATTTTGTCCGTCCAGAAGTCGTCATGTGTTCCTGAGCAATGCATTCTGGGGTTCAAAGAAACTGGTAAAGAGACAAAAATGGTAATCTGTTTTCATTTTTTTATCTTGTCGTATATTCTGATGAGTAATTGTACTTTTCTGATATCTTACACTTCACTTCTTTCAAACCTCCCCATCTTGTGTTAACGTGTGCGGTCATGTGATAAAAAAACAGCCAAAATGCTAACATGCTAACATGAACATCTAACTGACTCTAAACTCCAGATTGAACTTAATAAAATAACATTTATTTGACTCTGTAATCAAACATAGACTCTTCAGATGTGTGTGTAGAATCAATCTAGTATAACAGTATGACATTGTGCTGACCTATAAGGAGTGCTTTCATAGCGGCCTACTTCTGAATTTTATATTTTATTATTACATATAATTAATTTGGTCGTTATCAATGAAAAAAATAATAATTGCTGTTATAAATTATATTTATGCAGACAGGATGTTAAAGATATAAAGCCATGTTTGCGACTTGGTTATTAAAGAAAACAATACTGTGCATATTTTGTCACTTGTATGTTAAATAAGTCTCATTTCATTGCTTTAAATGATGTTAATACACATGAAAACCTGCAACGGCTGTTTTTTCTTATTACATATTAAATCAGTTTTGTGTTTTGTGATTCAAAGTGTCAAAATATTTCTTGTAAAAACTGAAATATAACCTGTGCAGCTCCTACCACACTCTCTCCCTGATTTCCTACTCTATCCACGTCCTCTGAAATAAAGGCATTAAAGTGCCAAAATAAAATATAAAAACAAAAGATCCTGAAATAACATTAAAAGATGATATAAACATTTATGTGGACTCAGCAGGGAAAAAGAGTGCCATGAAACCTGTCCGCACTGCGCTGCATTACCATGAACCCACAAGTCACTTTTCCTGATTTAATCATTCACAGCAGGTGGAGAGTGGCTCGTCCAAATATGCCAACCATTTTTAAAAATGTTATGTTCAAATCTGTCACAAAGTTGATGGCTTATATGGCTTCAGCGCTTTCCTCTATATGACGTAATATTGTGACCATGACAACGATTTTGCTGCAGAGTTTTAAGTTATTTAAACTTCCCTTGTGACAGCTTTTGTTTGATGTCGTCAATCCTTGTCAATCGTCAATCCTTGTCATATTGATAATATTAAAGGTCCCATATTATGCTTTTTCTGGTTTTATATGCTCTTTAGTGTGTTTTCCAAGTGTACTGTGCATGTTTAGGCACATATATGTGCAAAAATTCAAAATCTGTGGAAACGCGGCTTCTCCTACCTAATGCTACAGCTACCTCCAGTTAGCTGTAGCATTAGCCGCATGTGAAGCTCGGTTCTAGCCCCCCTCGATAAAAATTTGTCGGTGTGACGTCTTTGTCAGTGTGAGATCACTGATCTAAGCCCATTGGCTCGTTGTGGCCCAGCAGCTCATGTTGAAATTTCCGAGACGCGTGCTGAGCAACTGACCAATAACGACAGAGCGGATCGGCAGACCAATCAGAGCAGACTTGGCCCACGTGGGGTCTAACAGTGTGGGCTCAACAGAGTGTAGCTGACGGACTCAGAGCGGAGAGGGAGCAAGGAGGAGCAGTTCATGAAAACAGACACTTTTTAAAAACTTTATCTATTGTGAACGTACAAAAGTAGGAACATAGATTAAATATACGAACCCCAGAAAGGGCAGAATATGGGCTCTTTCATATATAATTAATATAAGATTTGAATTATAAAGAGTCCATCAGTATTAACTCATCCATTCATACACACTCACACACTGATGGTAAATTAAAATTAAGTATTTTACCACATACTATAAAAGGTTTAAATTGGGCCTAAAATGTGAAATAAAACGTGATGTAAAAACTTCTCAGGTTCTTAAGAATCGACTGGCAGCCTAAGACTCCAAAATGAAAGAGATGGCAGAGGTTGCAGTTTAAAGGATTTATTGTCCATCCAAAGCAATTGGTTTCTGTGATATCAACAAATATTCCAAATCAATAATATCATCAAACTATGAACAAGCAATTACCACCATAATTAAATCAATAGTTAACTCAAACAGATTCAGCTAAACCGTGTACATTGATATAAACATGTCGTACATGCTCAGGAACACATGGCAGGAGTAGTGGATGGAGATCTGAGAGATCTAGGGCTTTGAGTTGGGGCTTTTTATAGTGACTGCAGGCACACCTGACTGCAATGGCCAATCCAGCAGGACATTTAGTGCATGTAAAAACTCTGTCCACCAGATGCCGCCATTTAGGCAGTATGGAGAGAATTCACATCATTGCGATACACAGAGTACTACTTTAAACTCAATTTTGTAGGCTTTATTTTGAAGGTCTTGAGAGGAAGTTAGAGGTAAATCTTTTGAGATTGTTGTATCTCTGAACTCTCTTCAGTCTTGATCACACTCTCCTTCACTAACGCTCCACAATGAAGCTGGATTTAAGCCTCTTTTATTTCTTTTTCTGCTGCGTCAAAGTTTCTCTGCCTCTCAATTCTTGTCCGACTCAGTGTCAGTGTGACCACGACGTCCTGAGCGTTTCCTGTTACGGAGTTCAAGTCCTGCCGAGTTTCTCCGTCAGCACTCAGGAGGTGTAAGTAAAAACCATCTAAGGACTCTGAGTTTATATGTACGCCTTATAAATTACATACAAACATCTTTATTTTTACATTACATATAAACATCTTTAAACCCTATATTAAGTTTAAACATCTTCAATGTTTAAGTTTAAACATTTTGAATAATTAAGTTTGAACATCTTGAGTCTTTATTTCATGTTTAGTTACGTATATCAAATTTTATGATATTTAATGTTTGGTTTATTGTTTCTGTCTCAGGTCGCTCATGGGGACAAAACTTCCTTCGATACCTGAAAATGCTTTTTCCTATTTGACAAACATTTCTCAGATGTAAGATGATTTTTTAACACTCAAAGTTTGATTAGTGTTTGAATAATGACATTAGTAGAAACAATCCTGCTGTGTGTGAAGTGTTGAGGTAACATTTGGTATGAATCATTATTAGTGTTACGTTTGAGTTTAAGGGTTTGGACCCCAGAATACAGAACATGGAAACAAAAGTCAGTCCTTAATACGTTTTAATGAAGCTTGTAGCAAAATAAAAGGCAGTTGGTGGCAATAGAGGACGGGCTGGCGCAGGACAACTCAAAAAACAACAAGGCCAAACAGAAATCCAAAGCAAGGAGGTGAGGCTCACCGGCAGTCTGCACACAAAAAGAGAAAAGAAGGTCAGTCCATGACACAAGAAGAAAAACTAAGGTTCAAAGTTCTTCAAGGTTAGGCTAGTAGTGTGACACAGTTACCGACTGCCACAGGAGGTGAGTCTCGATCTGTCTTTAAGGCCTCAGTGATGACCTGATGAGATTCAGGTGCTCCTCGTTCCAGCTCAGCCAGCCACGCCCTCCACTGCACACACACACACACACACACACACACACACACACACACACACACACACTGCTCACACACTGCAAGAGAGAAAACAGAAGGAGGGGAAACAAACACAAAGTGAAACTAACACCATGATAATTAGAGGATTAATGAATAACCTACATGTTATCTTTAAGTGTTCATGTGACTCACATGATAAAAATATCTTGTTGTTTTGTTTGTTTACAGATTGATCTCTGAAGATGACACTTTACGATTTCTTCAGAAACATTCTTTTTACAACCTGTCCCGACTAACACACGTGTACGTAACGTGATTTAAATAAGGTTTCACATGTAACTTAATTATATGATTTAAGGCTGACGTGTTCATCTCAATAGGTGTGTGTGTGTGTGTGTGTGTGTGTGTGTGTGTGTGTGTGTGTTTTTGTGTGTCTGTGTGTGTGTTTGTCCGATAGACAACTGACTGGACTGAAAGAACTGTCCCATATCGATCAGGAGGCGTTTAAGGACCTGCCTAATCTAAAGTACCTGTAAGTTCGTTTAACGGCCTCACCATAAAAGAATGAAGTTGAAATCTATTTGAGTGATATAATGAACCCTAACTCTTTGTGTCATTACAGAGCGATCATTAACACAGGCCTCACCTCTTTTCCCGAGCTTCAGTATATTCAATCCATCCAGGAGGATTTCATGTTGTAATTTATAATTCTCCTTACATTACCTGTAGCTTTAACCATTATTTACCTGAAGTAAAAAAACATTTTATTTCTGACAGAGAGATCGTCGAGAACGTCTTCTTACAGCTGATTCCTGCAAATTCATTCACTGGACTATCGGAACATCCTCTTACTATGTAGGTGAATTCATTAATCAATCAATCTTTTCACCATGTATATTAGATTTAATTAATCAATCTTTTAATCAAATGCTGACTAGTGGATATAATGATGATTGACTGATGATTTTGAATTTTCAATCAGATTCTTAAACCAGTGTTAATAAATAAATAAATAAAATATAAAAACATAATTATTTCGAGCTAAACTTCACTAATATTACTAAAACCATCTGTTTCACGTTTAGTTTTCGTTTCTGTAAACAGCACACGTTTACTTTCAGAATCGTCAAACCATAAATAGATCATATTCAAAGTCTGCTGTGATTATAGAATCCAAAATAAGTGAATATACAAAGTGTCAATTCAGGGCAGGGCTCATGTTTATTGTTTCCAAAGCTTCAAGGAGGAAACAGAAATATTACCAAACAGCTGATATGTCTTTTATATTAAAAAGTTATGATTGTTTTGTATGCTAGCCATAATACTGAAAGTAGCATGCTACTTTCACAGTTTATAATTTATGCAAAGAGAAAATATGACTGATTACAACAAAAGATCAGGCAAAAAGAACAGCTTACTTCTTCTTGTGTTAAAAAATTGAAATTAAAAAGGTTAAAATGAGACATGGAGAAGTAATGAACTGAAACAGAAGGGAAGGAACACACAGACTACAAACAGATGAAGAAATATATTAGAAATAGAGTAAGAGTAGACACACAAGGAGAGTGAAACTGACATATACTGACAAAATAAAACAGGAAATAATATCAAAACACAAAAATAAACAAGCTAGTTTCGAGATGTTTGTTGACACTCGGGATATACAAGAACAACCATGCAACATTCTTGTGCTTGTAGGCTCCTTTGACAAAGGGTAGTTATTAAATATAAGGACAAAGAAACAAAATGACAAGAATAAAAAAGAATGCGTTTTTAGTAACACAAATATGTAAATTATAGGTAGAGGTGGAGCATAGTTATACATTGTTGAATGGTCAATACTACACAGAGTATTATTGCACTTAAAGGTTTTTTGTTGTATTTAAGTATTTATAAGTCTTTTGAATCTGAGACACCGCTGAACATACTGCTCCTGCAGGCCGGGCAGCTCACATCCAGTAATGTTTCAGGCTGTAACCTCAACCTTCTCCAGTGCCTTACAGTCCATGCTGGTGCATCTGCTGTATTAGTTGGCGAAGCAGCCTGTCAAAAGGCTCTCTTTGGTGCCCTAGTTCTAGTCCCTGAGGATTTCGGTGTATAGGGAATACAGGAGGGAGCAGAGGACAGCTCCTGTGCTTGTGGGCTCTTGTCCACTCTCACCACTTAGAGGCAGTCTTTCAGGAAGTCTAGGTTCCAGTCACACAATGCTCTGTTCAG